GATTCTCAAATAAGACACGGAGAACACCAAACCAATGTGTTATTTCTACTAGAGGTCCTGTTTAAACTAATAGTGGCTCCGAACGAAATAATAGTGGACATTTTCTTATGGATAGTGAAAAAAGCCGAAACTTGATAACGTTTATTATGTCCGAAACTTTGTGGTGTATAAACATTTTTACATGCTTTATGTTTTAGCAATTTGATATGTGGTTGTAAAAAAGGTGATTTAATCTACCATTAATCACATTGGTTTATATTGGTATATTTCGATTAATTTTATTGGACAAGCTGCTCGACTCTCCATGAGGTATAAATTTAGTAGTGGCTTCGTACACGTGTACATGAATTTCTTATTAGTATAGATAATAGTGTAGTGACCAACTTTTATCAAGAGAACGCGATTGGTTTAATGGAACAATTATTATTATAACCAATTGTACCAGTGATTGTTTTACTGTGCTCGTTTGTTTAACTGTGCAAATGACAGCCATATTACTAGTTCATTATTCTCCATTACTTTTCCGCGGTTTGTGACCTCGTACGCAAGTACTCTCGCCGGCCGATTCCACTTGTACTCTTTTTGGCACGATTTCGGTATTCGTTCGATACCACGAGATCGCCAACAAAATAAACTTAGTTCCTCTCTATATTCGCCTTCTGGTTTATTTGGCACGCATTTCTTTGTAGTGGTTTTCATAGTCAACTGCGACTCGACTCCACGCTACAATAGTAATCAGACATGATGTTTCGAATTAACTATTTTAATCCTGCTTATAGTTCTGTACTTATTCTCAAAATTAATTGTAATCTGACTGTTTATGTATGTTATTAGTATGCTTTGTTTGTGTGTATGTCTGTTCATTGTTTATTTTATTCCACTACGTTTTCGGGACCGTATGAACTAATTCAAAGACTTACTTTCATCTGGCTAGCGATAGCCGGAATCCACGCTAAATACGGTAATTTCCTCTTGCTGTTTGTTTACCGATATGCACTCCTGAAACATGTGTATCCTCAACTCAACTTGTCTACTCAACTTCAAAATTTCTCTTTGATTATGCTGATAGAGTGGGGGAGGACGTCTGTCAAACTTGCAATCACATATTTCGTTGATGTCGAATAAGTAGCATAAATCAACAAGCCCAACTCAAGAAATCGTAATAATCTTCTTGAAACTTTGGTGTTTACCGCTTACTACTAAAATACTTTATGAAAGCATTGAAGATGATCCGATCACAATACGGAGTAAACCGGAGAAGTTATCGATTATTGATTAATGTTTTTGGTAAAGTTGGATTGGTCTTTATTGCCTAAAACTGTGTGAAATTCCTGAATAATATGCTCTCCAAAGTAGTAGAAATCGATGGTTTCAGACCCTAGATATATACGGAATTCATCAATGACAAACGGATTTCTTTTGCCATTATTCACTAAATCTTGAATGTGTAATTCAGTAAACTTAAATTCGCCTCTTGCTTTATCATCATTCCGTTATTTTTTCATTCCTTCTGAATTATTTTTAGAGATCTAGTACTTTTATGAATTAGCGTAATCGAAACCTCGAATTATTGTATCTATTTATTGATAGTTTTCAGTAAAATTCACAATTATTTTCAACGCAATATTTGTTTGTTCCCAGTCAGTAGCAATATCGCTTTTTATCCCTCATTGGTTATTGAGATTGTAACTTCAGGTCTCTTGTTGCTGATTAGTGAAATCTAAATGAGATCAAGTTCATTTCTTATTCAGATTCATTGCACATTATCTTGCTGAATGTTTCATTCATTAAAAACGATTCGAGGTTATATTTAGTGCACGTTCAGCAATCAAGAATAATTTCCTAGTCATATTTTAAGTAATAACAATAATAATAATATCACTCCTTGATTTTGTATAGACTTGTCTGCAGACTGATATGCATTTCTAGTATATAAGGGCTAGTAATATCAATTCTGCCTAAAACTAGGTGTATGGAGTTCGTGTTCACGATTCACTGTTTGAGTGCTCAACCATGCATTTCGTTCAGTGTAAATATGTGTTATAGCTTGTGGCCTATGTGCCCTGTTAATGTATAAGGTAACGAGACCGCCAATTAGAGAGCAGTGAATTATCGATCGACCAATGACACGTAAAACCCGTACGAGCAGCCTAGAGTCCTGCTTCCCACCTAGCCCAGCCAGTTAAGTCCAGAACGTCAATCTCAGCCTCTGCGATATGCATCATTATATTTCAAACACACTGAGTTTATATACTAATCAAACAAACCACAATGTACCATAAAATATGAAACAACATTTGTACAAGATTTGGCCAAAAGTGGCTGTGAATGTGGGAGGTAGGGAATAATTAGACAGGGCATAATTCAAGAATGATGAAACGTATATTAATAGTTCATAGGTCAAAATAAAGCTTATAATAAGAGGAATATGAATATGAATAGTTGAGTTATTTAACAAGTATACGTTAAAAATATACGTTCAGTATTGGTCCGTAAATAGATCCCAAAAGTTACTATTCGTTCTGCTTATCGTGACATAACAATAAGAAAAGTGATTTCTTAAGATGATGTCTATTATTAACTTTCCATTCCGTTTTTTCTGTATTAATCTCAACTGCATTTATATATATCAAAGATTAATTCGGCGTTTCACTGGGGGTGTTTCGAATTCTGATTTGTCTTAGTTGCAGTCTTCTAGCATATCTATATCTATCCTTAAATTCTTCTTAAGTCACTATAGTAATTCGAGTTATTGTAATGATAGCGAAAAAAATAATTTTACGACATCCATTTTGATAACTTTGTATATTGTAGTGAGAGGGTAAATGTTATTAGAACCATGTGATACATAAATAGGATTAATCTAATCATATAAATTAACATGTTAAGAAATTTATGTGCTGGTGTATTAATGTTGTGTTTAATTGCTCTTATGGCAACCTAATTTGGTTCAAACTCCAATCTGATAACTCATAAAGATACTCGTGATATATGACCACAATGTATCATTAGGTAATTACCAAAAAAACACTTAACAAGTATATGAACTTTAGTAACCACCATGTGAGACCTCTTGCAAACTTTCCACGTAGCCATTTGGATAGTTTCGCTCTCAACGACTTATGCTTTCCAGTAGAGTTATTGCTTACTTATAATTACACTGTTTTCGTTCCAATTTATGTGTGATTGAAGACATGGTGGAAACCAGTCTGTAAATCAGTGAAGTCTGGTTTACCGCTCACTGTTTTGTGAAATAAATGGTTAATTCATAGTTAAGAACGACTGAGTTCATTGCTACATCGTTCTGATTGTTGTTCACATTATCTTCTGATAACCTTTATTTATGAATTCAATAAAGCTTCATGATTGCAGGAAATTTTCTTCATCGGTATGATTCGGTATTACCAATATGTTTAAGTGATAAATGTGACACAAGCGTAATAAAGCTATAAATACTTTCCGAGTAATAATACAGCAATGACATAACTTCTTTTGATTTTTTGCTATCTTATATCATCTATATGAATAGCATGAGTATTATTTCAATGACCCCATGTCTGTATGTTTGAATATATTAAATTCAAAACTCCGTTTTGCCTTTTTCTACTTTTGTACCAGTCAACTAGCTACATATCTTGATCCGTAATTTTTATCGATTGGATTTTAAATTAAGTATTATCAAATATATAAATGAATACGTTTTCCTCCTGTGAAAATTTGTCAATTTATCATTGAAAGGTTCGAAAGCGTAGACTTATTATACTCTTCTTAACGCCCACTAGAACAATGTGTCTATAAAATTAATTACGCTTGGGTAATCTTGCTCATAATAGGTATGGTGATGAATAGACAAGTATCTAGTATTATGGACTTCTAAACTGATCACCATATTATTCTAAGCAGAGATAATGGTGGCTAGCAGTTTGAAGCGAACGGTTCTGTGTTCGAGTTCTTGAGTGAATGTCAGCTGACCAGTCCCAAGTAGGACGAAATGCATGTCCTGGGTTCCACTGCTAACCACTCTCACCTCCACCCATAATGCTTGTGATTGAAGGCAATATCAAAGCAATCCGCACAGGATGCACATTTGTCAACAAGAGACTGATCAATTGTATAATGAATTCTGACTTGTTTACATCAATCATACTTGCCTGTATTTATTCATTGTTTTAATTAGTCAACTTTACGTAAATAATCTGAATAGACAGAGAACGTCCTGGCTTTAAAATTTATGCGGTAAAGGTACTCATCAGAAATTCGTAAAAAGGTACTTGGATGCTACTGTATTCGATTTCTTCAATTCACTAACCGAATCGCGCTTACTTATTTCTTCTCCTATTCTATATTTTGAAGTCTGAAATATCTTGTCTTGTCTGCAAATTGTATGTCATTTATGCATTCTTAGGTACGTTTTTATGTACGCTTCGCAGTGTAGTTGCGTGAATTAATCCATGTACATGTAAACCAGATATTTACTGAAATGTAAAATCGAACTCATCTTGATCATTTTTGAGTGAACCCAATTTACATTTAATAATGTTTCTCACTTTCCGTTTTCTATATTTTTGTTTATGTTTTACAAAATCTATTTTGAACGCTTGTGTGAACCTTTCGATAATTTTAAGAATATGTATTTTCAAGTAGTGTAGATTGTAAGTTAGTGAATTCTACTAAATGGGAAGCTGAAAATTTGAATTAAGAACATGTGATGATTAGGCTAACTAAAGTTTATTTGATTTAAATATTAGGCACATAACAATGTAAGTTGGTTACTCATTTTGAGGAAAAGAAATTGGAGTATATTGACTCTTATGCTGAAATGAAGTTTTGTTATCGATAAGTAGGTAATTCACATGAATAGTGAATCGAATCATAAAATAAAACCAAATATGAGAGTTGTGTATTTTAAAGATTTGTTTAAGAAAGTGCAAATAAATCACTCAAATGTTGAAACGTCCCAAAACATGTTTAGGGTGTCAAATTTGTAGTTCATAATGGGTTTACCATGCATCGCATTTTGTAACAGGATTCATTGGTGAACCAACTGGACAACCATATGCACGTGCGAATCTTCTACTATTGACCAACGCCCCGATGACTCTTTCAAGGTAGAGAAGACAAAGTTATTTCGTTAGTTTGTAGAGCTGTAAACTAAATACACAGATACTGTAAAGTTTGCTAACTGAAACTACTGTTTTCTGATAAAGATTGTGAAGGGTTAATCAGATTCAAGGTAAAGTAGGCGACTTTCAGTGCAGTTCTAGACCATCGGAATTCATTAATTTTTGAGTTTTTATAGCCGTTTGTATTATCTGACAAATAACAGTTATATGGCTTTCAAGCATGATAGTGTTCATTCTTGATACGGAATATAATGCTGAATACTTGTAATTCTTCGTTATATACTGCAACACCTGCTATGAAAACTTTAGTTTGTGTCAACAAATATTTAAAGTCATCATTTTTAGTATAACATATGTAATTTAGATCGTTATAAATTCTTACCTAAACTTTTCCAAGACATGAGGCATAGCTACTGCATTTTGTGCAAGTATTACCTCACCATGATGTCCACACATAGCCTTGAAAATGGGATAATGGAAACAGTTGAAAAGTACATTACTAGTTATTTGGTGATAAAACAAGACATGATTATATTTAAGCTGACATTGCACTTATTATACATTACTTAAAGTATACATCATTCCGCCTGGAACCCATCTTGGGCTACTGTCGATCCCAAGCCCGGAAAAAGAAGAGAGTTGGGCATGAGGTTAGCGGCACAATCGCGTAAAAATCTAATTCACTAAAAAACTGCTAATCAGATAAAATAATTCAAATCATTTAAACTCTGCCCTGGGAGTTCGAAGGTCTTCATTTAGAAGAGTTATGACGCCTCATGGTGAAAGACGAGTTCCTTCTCAACTTACGAATTTGATGCCCCTTCTGACAACCAGAGCGACCATTAACGTAGGTCCATGGAATGTTGTGGTGTTTGAATGACTTAATGATTCTTTTGTACTTGTTGAATGCTCGATTTAGAATTCCAAATACAATACATTCATTTGTGCTCATCTAGTGCTTCTTGATTCAATTGTGTTATATCGAGGATTCTTAGTTCATAATATAATTCAAATCACCAAATTGGCGTCGCGATGGAGCCTGTGATTGAATTATTGGATATACATTCAGATTTTCGTGCTTTTAATGATTATTTTGAAAGGTTCGAAATCTGGGCTATGACCAGGTAAGATGATGAGTATGTTAATATTGTGGCACATTTCTTCACATTCATCGGAAAAGAAGTATACAGCTTATTAAGAACTCTGGCTATGCCAGAAAAGCCTATCTCGCTTCCTTATACAACTCTCAAGGAACTGGTGCTAGACTATGTTAAGTATACAAATTTCAAACGCAGTAAAGGAATATTTTGTAAAGTGATTCATGAGAATATAAAAAATTCCACTGCATTACTACGTCATTCCAACACAGTGCATACTCAAGGCTATGCAGATAATTCATTGAGGAGTTTGGATGCATTTCACGAAGATGGACATAAGTTTGGTCAATGTTTTTGCTGTGGCAAGTTACACTCTTTTAATTCATGTATAGGATAGGAATCTCACGGATCAAGGATAATCAAAGCCTCCTTCAAAACAAAGAGAGAGGGCATTTCAATGAACGTCATCCAATGCTACGCGCCTACCAACGACTACAATGAAAATGTTAAAGATCAGCTCTACAATAGGCTGCAGTCAATCGTGGAGAAATGCCCAAAACAAAGGACCTGGCCATTCTGATGGGAGACCGAAATACCATGGTTCGAATGGGCAACACTGTACATGAAGACATCATCGGACGACATGAACTGGGAGAAAGGAACGAAAATGGTGAGGGATTCGCAAACCTATGTGTTTTCAATAAACTGGTCATAGGTGGCACCAAATTCCCACATAAACGGATACACAAAGCCACATGACTTTCACTGGATCACACTACACGGAACCGAATTGATTATACCTGCATCCACAAAAACTTCAGGAGAACGAATGAGGATTTGAAAACCAGGATAGGAGCTGATATAGCCCCGGATCATCACTTGCTGGTCAACAAGACGAAACCGAAACTCCAGAAGCACTGGACAACGGGCGGACAACATCAGTAAGTTTTGCACGGCCTTTCTTCTGGATACGGACAAATCGAACAAATTTAAGGTAGACCTCAGCAATGGGTTCTAGGTTTTCATGATCTACTCAAACAACACCATAGTCAGAATTTTCAATACACATATCAATACAGTTCTGCTGTATGAAGAGGGAACTTCGAGAACTATGAAAGCCATCATCCAGAAGATACAAGTGTTTATTAACAGTTGTCTGAGCAAAATAATTCATACATTTAGTTCCCTTTATTATTTTAAAGAGAGCAAGAACAAAGGCTGGTGCAGAATAATATGAATTCATTTTATTTCGTTAGGTTCTCATCAGTTGCTTACAACCTAAAATACTTGAAATTTAACGTTATTATAGGTATTGACATACTTATACATGAGAGGGAGATGAAGGATACATGATGTAGCAAAGATTTCGTTAGAGTTAGTGAGGTCATAAAATTTTGTTTCGAATATATAGAGTTTGGGAGGGAATTTTCCAGAACATTGAAATGGTGATTAGAAATCATGGAATTAAAACACATTAGATTATTATGCAATGAAGTAACTGAAAATAGATTAATGTTAATAAAGAGAGATATGAATTGAAATTGGTCACTTATGAATGATGTAATTATAAAACTCAGAAAGAGTTGGAATGACGTAATAAATAAGAGGGGGAAGGGTAATGTTACCAACTCAAATTCAAAGGCGATAATGTCACAGGGTCAATCAATATGAGACTAAAAACTGCATTGAGAAATAAAAGGGTGGGGGGTAACGTTACCAGGGCAAAGAAGATTTATTACTGTTCCTTTTTGTATACAAAGATCTAACGAACTCTTTGCTACATCATGTTATATATATATATATATATATATATATATATGTATCCTTCATCTCCCTCTGATGTATAAGTATGTCAATACCTATAATAACGTTAAATTTCAAGTATTTTAGGTTGTAAGCAACTGATGAGAACCTAACGAAATAAAATGAATTCATATTATTCTGCACCAGCCTTTGTTCTTGCTCTCTTTAAAATAATTCAGATCTGTTGGTCAGACACTATCAGTAACAATCTACAGTGGGAGAGAACAAACCAGATTCCAGCGGAGGAAGAAATCAGGAAGAAGCGCTGAAAGTAGATAGGGTGCACATTAAGGAAATCAACTCAGTACGTCACGAGACAAGCCCTTACATGGAATCCCAAAGGCCAAAGGAGAAGAGGAAGACCAAGGAACACATCAGGCTGAGAAATGGAGACAGACATGAAAAGACTAAACAACAATTGGATAGAATTAGAAACGAAGGTGCAGGACCGAGTGGATAGGAGAATGATGGTCGGCAGCCTATAAGTTTGTTTGAACTGGTAGTTTACATTTTGATGATTTATGTTATTGTCTTAGTTTTAAACTTCACTCCTTTTTCAGCTCCTTCAGATAATGTGAAAATATTATTGAGCAGACAGTAAATTCGAATAATAATTTTCGGTTGAATTTCAGAAATAATGACATGGGTGGTATGATGATTTTTATGAAAGTGTTGATGTATACAACATTCACATCCAAGTTCAAGGGGAACAAAGAACGTAGGATGAGTGTTTTAGATAAAGACGATAAATACCATTGAATATAACATTGATAAAAATATACCATAGGTATTCTTATGAATAACAGCAATTCGAATCTTCGACTTACTTGTGCAGACGAGAGGAAGAACAGTCGATCAGATTCAAGTGAATCGTGGTTATCTTGGCTAACATTGTTCGATGACTTCTTCAACAAACGCTTGTAGGTCTGAATAAAGAATGTTTTGTAGCGTAAAATTTACTGTGACTGAGTTAGTGTTTTTGAAATCAACGGTCATAATACGTAGTAGTAAAACACCATTTATAGTGAATAGGTGGTGTGTTTGTGAAACGCTTTTAGCAACGTGTTATCATAACATAGTTTCTATCATGAACGATCAAAATAAACCTATGCACATTGTGCTGTATTTCATAGTTTTCATGAATCACGAACGAGAAGTCGAGTAACATAGTTGTGTACCTATTTTAACCACCGAAAGAATCATTAACCAAGCTATTGAGTTTTCTGCTCATTGAATTGATTTCACAGAGATATTCCAAGTATGTTTGTGTGTTTTGTCCCCTTAATTTTATACTGCAAATCAAAGTTGACGCTAATAAAATTTTGTACAAATACAGTTTCGATTATTGGACAGAACACTACGGACTGGTCGATTTTTGTTTTCATATCAGCAATTGTGAGATAACTGTTTGAGCTGAGTAATAGCAAAAGAATCTTTGAAAGCGAACAAAGGAGCATATAACTCAGAATGTAGTGAACGTGGGACAAGCATATCAATGTTTTCTTAAATAGTCTATTAGGCTTTTAGTTACCCAATTATCAATCATATGGTAGGGTATAGGAAGCTAGAACAACGAACGTGATATCGGACCACTTTGTTAACCCCTATGTTTACCTGACAAAAATTAACATTTATCCAGAGAAGTAACTGTAAGATCCTTTGGTATTTATTAAATCTGATTGCTTTCTATGTTATGGTGAGTCAACAAAATTTTCTGTGTTGGTCTCATAAATGACACACGATTAATAGTATTCTTTATTTATCTATACCATATTTAGATTTTTGTTCATTGAAAGGAAATCATCGAACTACTCAAGATACACAATAGTATTCTAAGGACTGATATCTAGTTTCAGTGGTCATAAACAAAATTATATTAATTATCTGAATGTACTTACGTGGTACGACGCTTTTAATCCATCATTGTCAGCCAACATTTCTTCTTGAGTATCAGTCCGAAAAGCCTAAATCAGTTGAACAGTAAAGAGGCATGTGTTGTGTAAGATTGTGAACCTGAAATCAGAAATTCTCACATTCCTTTTTTTACACTGAAATGTTATGCTGAATTGTCTTCGAAAGTCACTATTGATTAAAAGGAATTTCACTTCCGAACAAAAACATGCTAGTAACTAGTCTGAATTGATTTTCTACTCTTGTTTTTTTCAATTTCTGTAGTATTTCGAAAAACAGTTTATTCAAAATAAATCACATAACAATTTACGAAATTATGAGTAAGTTTCGTCAAATATAGCGAAACAAAATTCTTAAAAAACAGGTCTTCAGTGTACAAGAGTGATATTCGGCTGGACAATCTAAGTTAATTTTGTTATATCCGAGCAAAAATGGAGGGATAATAACTTTCTGGCGAGCTGTCATGTGATTTTGCAACCTCAAGTGGTGTCCGACAAGGCTGTCTACTATCTTTGTTTTTGTTCAATTTGATCACCTACTGCTAGAAATAGCGTTCTCGTTGTCTGAATTTTCTGAGATTGATCTCCTGCCAGGAGGTCCACTTATTGACTTAGAATACTCATATGACATAGTCCTGTTTGGTGAAGATGCCGATAAAATGCAGAGATCTGTTTTAATTCACGGCTTCGAAAAGCGCCCGTTAAGGGTAGGGGATACTCGTAAGTTACTAGTATTTGACCATAGATGTCTTATAAATATTGCCAGCATCTGCTGGGATCAGCTGGTAAGTAATAGTGAGGTTGGACTAGGAGTACTAGGGAATGACGGTTCCTTAAGGTCGTCTATGGGTTTCGGTCGCTGCTTGAGCATAACATTCATAGCACCGTTTGATTCTTTTATGATGAACTTGACTAGTAGAACACATTAAAATAGTTTTGTTTTAACATACTTTTAACTCCACCTGTAGCTCTTCTAGAGTCACTGCCAGTCCCCAGCCCGGGTAAAGGAGAAGGGTTGGGCATGGGTTAGCGACCCCATCCTGTAGACAAATAACTTGCCAGAAAGACGCTAACCAGAAAAAAATAATCCAAACCATTTAAACTTTGCCGCAGGAGTTATAAGAGCTTCATTTAGAAGAGTTATGACGCCTCATGGTGAAAGACGAGGTGCTATGGAAGTCATGAGGCTGATGCCTCATTTTTGCAACCAGAGCAACATTTTCTATAGGCAAATGGAACGTCCGGGCAATATAGGAGACTGGGAAGACCAGTCAAATAGCAACGGAAATGAGGAGATACAAATTGGCAGTACTTGGAATCAGCGAATCCCATTTGATCCAAGCTGGACAGCAAAGGTTAGATACGGGAGAGATGCTGCTATACTCCGCTCATGAGGAGGAAAATTCTCCACACAATCAGGAAGCTGCTCTAATAATGTTGAAAGAAGCACGACATGCACTTGTAGGATGAGAATCTCACGGATCTAGAATCATCAAAGTATTATTCGAAACAAAGAAGCATGAAATCGCAATGATTGTTTTCCAGTGTTATGCACCTACCAATGACAGCAATGACGACATTAAAGACTAGTTCTACGATAGGCTGCAATCAATCATAGCGAAGTGTTTAAGAAAACACATCACCATTCTGATGGAAGATCTAAACTCGAAAAGAGAGCAATAACTGGTGTCACATTTAATGGTAAGTTCATTTTCCAATATTCTCAAACGTTTTAAGTTAAATACAGTTTAAATGAAGAAAGTAGCATCACTTGATGATTATGGAAAATTTTTGTACTAAATAACCTATGACTATACGGAATTTCAGTAAATATTTATATTTTCATATTTATAATTTAGCTAAACTTACTTTTAAAGCAGTGTAACTATAGTAAGCATACTGACGACTCAGACATAAAGCATTCAAATGTTTCAAACCGGATGACAGTAAAGCACTGAACGAAGTCCGTTTATTCTGATTCTCATCATACAGTACACCTGGAGATACAACGAAACTAATAGGTTATGTTTATTGAAATTGTAATTACTTTTAACATAATTGCTAGTGTGCACGTAGAGTAGAAGGAAGGGAAAGCAGAAATCAGTGTATATTTGTTTGGTAATCACCAGTTTTCACATCAATCGAAATGAAAGACTAAAACCATGAGTTTGTCAGAAACTAATACAGCAGACACTACAAAAAGTGGATGGTGTCTAGCAGTGGAATTCAGAATACTCATTTCGTTCTATTTGGGACCCGTCTGTTAGATGAACCTACATCCTAGCTCTACTTATAATGCTTTTGACCTAAGACAATATCAACCCGATCCTCATAATATGCACATAGACCAATAAGAAATTAGTCTATAGCAGTCCTAAACATCAATGAGAAGATTCAAACAATCAGTATTAAAATGAAATTATACAACAGACGTTTAACCGTGACTCGTCAACGTACAGCATACCAGAGTAGAACAAGTTATTTCATGATTCCAAATTATTCCATTGGAATTAAATGGGAGGATGGTTTTCAATGAGTTCTATGGATGAAGTTTCGACTATACACTACATTGCCTAATCACTAATACTGAACCAGTGAAAATGTATATCATCAATTTACTATCAGGACAACAGCAGTCTAATGTTATATTCGAAAACGAGTCTGATATTCAGTGTATGGTAACAGAGTAATACTCAGTATCAGTTGGTCGGTAATTCATAGGATAAAATGATTTGCGAAGTTTGGAAGATTATAATCATGAAAACTAATAAAAACCAAATTATAAATCACGTAATTCATTGATTTCTAATGAACGTGCCACTATCTCAATGTACCTTCAATTGATAGTGAGTGTAGTCTCGTGAGACGTGGATCGATGACACAAAAGAGCTTTTCAATCAGTTATTACAAGTAATCGATATGAGTGTGAACTAAGCTGACATGGATGTGGTCAAGTATTTAATAGTCAAGCCGATAAGATTTAATATTTCGTTCGAAGTACGACTAGATTAGACTAGTTGAAGCCAACCGCTGCATGGTATCACAAGCAAAATGTTTTATACATTAATGAACTAAACTGAAACTTTAAGCTGTTATTGTATTTGAATATTTAAATATTGTGACGATTGGCTAATGGATTCTTTCTATTCATATTATAGTGAATTGTCGTGAGATCGCCCTCCTTTCAGTGATGTGCTGATTTCGAGAATGTATCGATACAGGATACAGGTGGTATTTTGTGATTCCGTCATCGTAAAACGCTTAATACTGACATGTGGAGATTGTACACGATGACAAAATATTATTCAGATATTACGTGATGTTTGTCCATAAGGTTAGTTTTAACAAATGAACAACAAACTGAGATCGTCAAACTCAGGATGTTGACATTTTGTTGATATGCCAAATAAATGATTCTGATGAATACACGTTAATAATTAGTCAAATAGTAAATTTCTCTATGAATTCATGAGACAATTAAATGATATTGTGGTTTTATTAACAGTATTATACCGAAAGTAATAATTTTACACAAGTTAATTAATATTACTTTTAAGAAACTGAAAATTTAGTATACTGATTGAACAAACCTTGGATACCTATTCCGTGCATAATCTCATGACTTATAATCCAACCAAGTGCTCCAAATTTCGAAGCTAAACTACCATTTTCATAATAAAGTGGAGGTTGTAGAAGTCCTGGGTATACATATATACGATTTTCATCCGTTGCATAATAAGCTGATACGAGACGTGACAGTGATCCTGTGAGAGATCTGTTCACAAAAATATAAAGGTTTGGTTATTTCACATGTCGTACCATTTCATTAAAATTTCCCACTTTTTACATTTCACCAGGTAATCATTTCAAGATTACTACGGTACGAAATGTCTGGTATTTCAGTTTTATCACAAACTACCATGGATTATATTACATGATACTTAATGAATCGGTGAATGAAGCGGTTTTATTCACACAAAAATTGGGTAGAAATTGGTATATCACTTTACAATATGAGATTATGGAATCTGAATAAAAGTAATTTTTTACAACCGCTTTATTAATATGGATTCTAATATTCAAATTAAATATCCGTGATTTCCTAAATAGCCAGTAAGTAAATAATCAGTTCAACTTCTGTACTTATCGAACTAGGAAGTTTACTGTTTGAAAGATTTAGATCATTAGTGACTATTTTACATAGATTTTAGTCTGTTATTTGGGTTCACATTAGTAAGTAGTGTCAAATCTCCTAACGACGAAAATATAAAGATGCTATGTGATATAATAGTAGTTGTAATAATAATAGTAATAATGGACAATTAGCATTTGTCGTTTGGGTTATAAAATGAATGAAATCTTCTTACTTCATTACCACCTTGAATAATGTAATGAAGGCACAGAAAGTTTACTTAAGGAAAATGATTTGTACATCCTTCTGTTTTCTAAGATTTTAATTAGCATATTCGTTACAAGATTTAGAGGGAAGAGGTCCAAACACGAACCAAACACACACTAAATCAGTCCACGAAATCAATTTGATTTCATGGTAATGTGGGTTCTATTCAGTGGAAGGCATCAATCCATAAGATAATTTTGATTAAAGAATATTCAAATCTTTGCAGTTAAATAATAAAATTAATAATTTGTGATAACTTGTATTGTTTTTATATCAGAGACATCATGACAACTTACGGGTTATATTTGTGTAACTGAGCTTTCAAAGTGTCAATATATTTCGCTCTACGGATATAGAATTCATTTGTGTAATAATTGTCCTCTCGAATAGGGTACTAAATATTATTTGTGTGAAAAAACATTGACAGAGATCATTTAAAAGATGTTTAAAGCACGTTCTATACATTCTGTTTTCCAGTTTATTGAGTAAGTATTTATGAATCAATGGTTTTGGGAAAGTGCAGTGTCATTGAAGCAACATTTCGGATTTTCATTGTCAAACTAATCATTGTCACATAAATTGACTTTCCTCAATTTGTAACGCCGAGTTACCGAAATGATTTGACTAACGCATAAAATTGTGCGAATAGTCCTCGTGTGATTATAAATTTTCTCACTTGTACTATTACGAGATTATAGGTGATGATTTCGTACACGCATCCAAGTAGTTGAATTATGTTGAGATTGATGTGTAGTTTTTGATGACCAGCAGATTGGTCCATAAATTGACCAATATATTTGAACCTGTTAGGATTTAACCTCTGAGTTGCCGAACTGCAGAATAAAGACCAGTGAGTTGAAGTTTCTCTACCACGTAATGATTGAGGCAAACCAATGTTGTTTGGAAATGTGAAATATGCTTTTCTTACACTAAGTGTTATCAATGATGAGTTCTAGGAATAACGGTGTCTTGTAAGTTTCACATGTCTCCTCGGTGATAACCGGAGTTATTTTGTGTAGAATTAGCTTATTATTATATACAATGATGTATAATATAACCAGTTTTCAATAAAATAATCATTAGTTGTATCAAATGGACATGTAAAATAATTTATTTCTCAATAGTGAAATATGTGTAGTTAACTTACTTGGAATACTGTTGAGAGATTTTCTTTTTGTTGAGAAGCATTTTGATTGGAGTACAAGGCAAATATACTCATTTTTGAAACCTACAATTTTTCATAACAATCAGTTATCTTACTAAAACTTAAACAAACCTTGTATTTCATGAATTTTTTCTCTTCTTCATTCAACGACTTGATTTTCGGTATTGAGTTAGTGATAGTGAGTTTAATTTCGTTAAACATATTGATCACCTGTAATAGAGTGAAAATTAATCGAATTGAGAAAGTGTATGTCATGTTTGAAAATTATTGTTCCACAAAATAATAAGCTTGTCACATATGCATTAACGCTTTTCACCAATTCTAGGAGCAGCCTTTTAAATAATCTTGGTAGCTTTTTGTTTTGAAGGAGCTACTTGAGGCTTCTTTTCTTTTTGCCATTTTTCACCTTCTCCACTTCTTTTTGCTATTGTTTGTTTTTCTTTAGCTGCACGTAAAAGTGGTTGCCTTCTGATTTCAAACATCGTTGAGGTTTATTTAATAACGGTTACGAAGGTGATTGATGAACTGGCTATGCCACTACAGTATGATGGATTTTGGTTTCTCAAACCGACCATTGTTCTCTGTTCATCAAGAATATGTTTTTGATATTTAAAATGTATACCAATATATAGTCTAACATAGTAGCTTAATAAGATCATTTGGATGGATATTAGAATCTGTATTTTAAACGGATTTGGTGAGAAACATGGTATACAGCTAATAAAAACATTTTGAGTGGTTAGTTGCCTACTCCTACTAAATTGTACTGTGTTACACTTAATCTTGGCAATGTAATGTAATGTTTACAATAATGAAGTCTCGTCCCATATTGTTCGAATGATTATTGCACAGTGTAACTCCTAGATCTCAAAAAGACCACACCAGTGATGACACTCCGTAGGGATTCCGAAGATTATTTGAAAAACAATCAGCAGATTTTCATCGAAACTGTGGTCTTTTCGAGAAAAGTGGTTTGATTTGTTTGTCTAACCGAAACTAGGTCGACATTGGAACTATGTTGACCGTTTGATGTAATTCATGTAGGAACGTATATCCGAAATCGAAAGAATAATTTCACAACTGTTGAGGGACAGGTTTGTAGGTGATGTCGAAAGTATGAAAGTGTTTTGGAAATTCTCATGAATTAACATCAAAGTAACCCTAATTTTCGCATCATAATGTTTGTCAGTATGAAAAGTAACCAAAGTCAATGTTATTTAACACAAATACAGTTAGGAAATATTTTGTGCTGAACGCTTATTATGTTAAGATGTTGAATATCATTTTTTGTGAGGTGTGCTCTAAATTGTGCTATTCGGAGATATTTGTTTATGTTTATGTAATTTAAGTCAAAAAGTGTAGTATTCTCTTGATTTAAATAATTTTAACCTTCGAATATGAATGGTCGACTGTTGGGTATATAGGGGTTTCTGTCAATATTCCAGTAAATTTATGTAAATTTCGATTATTCTCTCAAAGAATCTCAAAACATAATTCTTAACAAAAGTTACCAACATTTCAAATTTTACTACAATGATGTCTACAAATATTTCTTTTAATATAATTGATGTTTAGAATGAAAAACAAGATTTTTTCAGTAATTAAGTGGGTTTCTATCTCTGGAGACACTGATTACTTATACCAAGATGAGTAATCATGGTGTTTCATCATTTGGATAAGTAAAATGATTGAATGTTCATACATTCGCGTTCACATATTAATAGCAGTAGAACGAACTTGGATGACGTCATCCATAGTGTTGAAATGGTAATCACCATATTGAGTTCCATTTATCCATTTATGGACAGTTAAACTTTGTCATGAATTACAAGCCCATCCAACATAATAATTTAAAAGAAATTTTTGAACGTATCTTGTATCCGACTTCATTTTCCATCACTCTAATATAACGGTGTTTGTTCACTGTAGTGTTTCTACTAGCCTATCATGAAATAAAACACTGTGTGTACAAATATCCATTGTCAATAATTGAACGGTTTTTCATTATGGTAAGTAAACTATACCACAAACCATCATCAATAACTGCATTCTGGTTTACAGACTAGAAAACAAACTATATGTACGCCCAGTTTTCATGATCACTTGTATCATGACGGATAATGATTTCTAGAATAAACCGGAAATTCGGAATTAAAACGCAAAGCCGACTGTAACAATGTGATAAATGCTATGATTTTGTAAAACTGTCAGTTAGATGCACATTACAAACATACAATCTATAATGATCTGACGAGAAACGAACAACAAATTGTCTATCACTCAGGTTAAATTACTCTGAAATAGAATGCTGTTCAATATAACTCGTCTATACTTAATTGGAATAAAGTGTTTTGATTTGTATTGTCAGTCGTTCAATAAAAGCTGATAGAATTGGTGGATGGACTGAGTTTACCAGAACTGCTTTAATGGTATCTATGCAGTTCACAGACTGTATCCAGAAAGATGATATAAAGATCAATTGAGGTCGTCTACTATGTACGTTAATCGAATTTCGCAACAGATTAATCTATGATATTTTCATTTTACTCAGGTGTGTCATTCGCTCAAGATGGGTAGTTTTCGTTCGAATCCGATAATTATGTTGTAGATCCTTGGCTATATAAGGAATTCTTCAGTCAGTGAAATAGTTGTTTCTATGAGACTATTTGCATTGTCTCATTTCATCATATAACGATTTCATATATATTGCTAGGTGTGTCTACCGTTCAAACATTGTAGATAAGTGAAATATGACATGAACCAACCTCTGTTATGTGTGTTTCGTTTACATGCGAACGGATATAATGTCTTTCAAGCGTCCATGGAAATGCATCCTTCAACCGTTTTATACATTGCTCATCAAAATGTGGCTGTGAAGCTATTTTAAATAAAGTGAAATAATGTTATGTTTTGAGAAGATCAAATGAATTTATAAAAGGACGGAACGGAATCAGTGAGTGTGTCAACAAATACAAAGTTGATCTTGATATTCCCCATGAAACAAATGACACTATCGTTCAAATCAGTGTTTACAGATCTAGTGTTCATGACTACTTGTATACTCAATCATCGTATACTTGCTTCAACACTAATTGCAGAAAGAATATATTTAAAATAATGTTTAATCAATAATCTGTTTACGTCCACTACATTGCTTTGAATATCAGGACGTGCTTCAAAGTATACTTTAGATAATTACTATTTCAAGTCATTTCACTTCTAACAATATGACTGAAAATGACAGTGATGAATAAATGTACATTGTTTCAGGGATGATGTATTACGTTGATGGGATTTGCAGAGTATACTGGATTTGTTCATCTATGAATATGTCTACTGTTGAATTATGCAGGAAGAATACAATAGGAAGTTTTGTTTTGACTAGTAACTATTTCCTTGTTTATTTATGTGGTTTCTATTGATGAATAACATTTTTATACTGGTTATTAGTATATTTATTGATGCTAGCAGTCAGTGATTATCAGGCGTTTGACGTTAAGTTTATTCATATGCTCAATAATTTCGACATCACTGGTGACCTTAGATCATATAAATTAAGAATATCATACTTGTTAAGTATATAAATTTGCAACACATGAACAGTGGTCAGAGCGTTTCTAGTAATGAAGACCATCGACATACAAAGTTTGTTCGCTACCGATCAACCTATCTCCTTGTTGTTACTCTGACAACGGTTATAAACTGATATACTGTACCTTTTAATCACAGTGGATAAGAAATTAAGCTCAGCATTTTCATTTTCAAAGCATTGTGAAGGTCGTTATAACTTGTGAAAAGATGTTTGTTTCCTAAGGGTACACATTTTTCTCCGTACATTATTCTTGAAGAACTAAAACATGAATAAGTGCGTTAGTAGTTTAGTCGTTTAGCATCAGAGCGGAAAAGCAGTTTTTAATTGAATCCGCACCAAACTCCACTTTATTATACATTTACCTGTTCAGAAGTATAATTATGTATTATAGTAATGATGAATAAATACATTATCAAACGAAAATTACTGGCCACTAGTATATATTTTAGGGTCGATAAGTGATATTGAATGTCGTTATTCCAGTCGTTCTTATAAACAGTTCAATGCAATAAAATCGTTGAATTACATACAGAAACGTGGTTAGAAATTTAATGTCACGTGGATAACCGCTTCATAGTCTCATCATTGACTTTAAGATGGATATTTCACAGTAACGAGTAATTAAATCAGTATATTATTGCCAAGTGACATTCTCGATTTAACAGTTTGGAAATGAATATATGTCTTATCAATTAATGTCAGTCATCAAGATTGTCTATTACGAATAATCACTTCATGATTTCTTTGTCGAAAATTTCACTTAAATCCAATTCCCATCTAGTTTCTTCAAAACGGGATGCAATATAATGAAAACGGGTAAAACTATATCTGAATTGATATATCCGTGTGTAGTGAAAAAATTTCATGACCTAAATATTCCATACGTTTTAGTTATTAACTACAAATTAAGTAATTCTATTGTATAATTTCAGTACTAAGTAAATAAATACATTTCTGAATATATAACTAACATGAATTGAAGTTATGAATCGTTCCAAATGTATGGACGTTTAGTGTATTCTTTTGTTGTTCTCTTAAAAAGTCCATAACAGCTATTGTGCGTAGAGTACTAATGAAGGGAAAAAAGTTAGATCAATAAAGCTAAGGTATTGAGAGTAATAATGAAACAGCATCGGTAAAACAACATACTGAATTAACAAATAACACAGACAAATGGTTCTAAATTCGAATAACTGTTCTAGAGCTTTATTCTCAGCATTTGTAAATTTCTAGAACGACCTACAAGTCTGAAATACGAGTTCTAAAATGTGCTTAATCTCTATTTTATCTGAATCAAATAAGTAAAGCAATAAATTTTATGCATTTGTTACAAATGTTCATGAGAATAAAATGAAATTGGATTATTCAAATGATTTTAGTTCCGAGTGATCCTAAACAGATAATGTGGATTGCATAATCTGATTTGTGAAAAGTGAAAATAGCTTATTATTATCTTATTAAGCTTCGTCAGTGCATAATCCAAATACAAGTGAAGAATGTAGTTAAGATTGAAATTAGTCCATCTAGAAATTGTGAAATTTCAAAGAAGACGATCCAAGTTGACCGAACTAACGTAAACAATCTGTCCAGTTTCTTAGAAACAAATAAGTCAACACATTAGTCAATCATTGATATGATTCATTTTAAATGTTTGAGACAAAGCAATCAAAAACTATGTTTTTATTTACTTGATTAAAGTGTGAAAATCTTAACATTTTGCTCAACTACTAGGTAGGAATGTAAGGTAGTAATATTGATCAATAAACAGCTACTGGCAAATAAAATTGACTAAATATTTCATATGGGTGTCTTTCTGGCATAGATTGAAATCGAATGATTAGAATCTGTGTTGAACTCTGTAAATTATAACAGTCTCTTTCTTTGTGGCAAGTGTAACGATGAAATGTTTTCATGCAGAACGTAAATAGTTTTATTATCCAAATTTAATTACTAAACTTATGTACCGCTATTAGATTCCATTTCGATCTCACCTAATTATTTTCACAGTTTTAAATCATGAATTGATCTTAGTTAGACTCCCTGTGAAAACCGGGAAACATTGAATGGCCGTTTCCTGCTAGTATGCGACTCCTCAGTAGTGCATGTCCACGAACTCGCATCCAGGAATCGAAGTCAAGCTCCTCAGCCTCACACATGTACGTTAAGTTTCTAGATTATTGAGTTAGTATCCAACGGTGTAAAGGTTTAATTTCAAGTGACGATATCGTGCGACCCTCATCTATTGCCTGTGGTGGATAACCACAGATTGAGCATCTCATACGAGGTCAAAGGAACCGTCAAGTGCTTCTAGGTTTTCAGTGGTAGTGTTACTGAGGTAAACTCATGATTTAAAAGTGCAATTTCTACAGTCTCCACAAGTCCTTTACACTAATATAATTCGTTGTTGAGAGATGCAGGTGTTTATTTTTACAAACTTATCGACTGCGAAATTCTATGTTTGTTGCCGACCATAAAGAAAATAAATTATGCTTTACCTTCCACCATCTTTTTCCGTCAATAGTTCACGGTATTCTGCGCAACGTTGACGGAGTTCATTTCGCCGTTCTATAATGATTGGTAGTTTGTGGTAGTTTACATATCCAGTTTCTTGTAATACCTTTTCAAGTGCATAACTCCAATCGATCTACACAAGTAAAATAAGTTACAATGAGCTCATAATATGGTTTCTCGAGATGAAATGGAATAATATTTTCAGTGACTTTCACGTCACATATAACAGCCTCTTTCATAGAGATGACCACCTGTGTATTACTAGGCAAAACAGTTCAGTAATCTAATAGTGATTATTGAAATTCCAAGTAAATATAGATTTCTAGAAAACTTAGCTTACAAGTATTCTATAAAATGAAGATTTCAAATGTTGACTTTCATCTGTTCACTATAAATAATGTCTCACTATTCTGTGCCAAGTAACCTACATTTTGTAGCATACGTTGATAGTTATCAACTACACTTTTTGTTAGGGACACTCAGTTAAACTGCTTCATATTTTTTAAAAAATATAGTTGGGGCAAGTCATATGATAATATTTACCTGTGGACAAATGGATTGTAGTTCGTTTTTCGTCACAAATTCTTTCAAGTGTTGTTTCTTTGAGTTCGACCTCTTTTGGAGATTGAGCGTAAAACATAACAAGAATCAAAATGACAGTTGTATCTTAATTTCAATTGGATATCACAAAAGTGACTCTTGGATGAAGATCATTTAACATTCATGGCCTGACAATTGCACACTCCAGTTATACGATATAAGGATTTTAAGAGACATAGTTCACCAATTGTAACGATGAAATCTTACTGCCAATAATGATCTTGTAGTCGAGCTTACAAGAACGAAAGGAGATTTTTCGGTTGAACGGCGTTTAATAGCCATTACTAATTAGGTGAGAACTACAAGGAAAGAATGTTACCATGATATTTGTCTGAAATCTGTTTCGGTATTTCGAGTGGTTTTTCTATTATTCATTTTTATCAATCTGAAGACCTACAGAAATAGGCAATCTGCTCAAACCTCGGAGTCACATTTCCCAGTTGCTGTTAATGCAGTCGATTACCAATCTGTTTCCGTGAATCAATGATACATAATAGCTATATGACATACGCTTATGCATTTATTAACGGTTAACAACTTATTGTGATGCTAAAATCCATAGAATTCAGGTAAGTGGTTATTCGTATATTTCGTTCATTTTTTCATAAATGAGGGGAATGTACATCAAAATTTGTACGTGGAACAGATTATTATGTGCAGAGAAAATCGATCAATTTCAGTAGCGCAAAACAATATTATCTTATTTTTGACTTGGAAACATACAAATTCTTAAATAAACTCACTCTGCCTAATCGAATCATTTTTCGGAAAGCATCCGTTAGTTGTGGTTTTTGAGACTGAGGTACCCCAGTTTCAAATGCAAGCTTGTAGTAATCCTCTTCGGATTTATCCATATCAGTCTGTCAAATAAAATTTGGAACATCTTTTACTCAAACTGAAATATACATGTAAAACTGAGTGGATGAGACGTTGAAATGCACATTGATATAGGACAGAATTTATCTGTGAAATATTTATGATCGTTATTCAAGATGTACAGATATCTCCGAAATATACAAATAGTTTTGTGTTTTTCTATTGTGACTCAACATTTGTCGACTGTTCTGGTTGAGAACGACTATTCATTAGCTATTCTACAATGTATTAGATTAAGTCAGATTATTATGAGTATCGAACTTCCATATTGATGACACATATGTTCCCACCCTGGCATCTCACACTTAGCATTCGTAATACATAGGAAAGCAATGTACTACGAAAGACAGGATTTATATTTATGTGAACAAAATATTTATATTATCGTAGAGTGCGTTCACCTTGTCAATGAACTGGTAAGAGTGTACTTCATTTATGTACCTTTAAAAAATCCTGCTGAAATTTTATCATCCATTTTTTCAATTTTAACTTTATATAGAAATATTAGTAAATCTATTCAAATACCTTTTGGAATTACAAATGCGATATGACAATATGATGTCTTCTTTCGTCATTACTTACAAATATATCAATGCAGTTTGTGATTCACATTCTCATCATACTCTGTCAGCTAACGTATTCCTTAATTTTGCATAAAACTTGAGTTTTTATTAGACATATCTTTTCTCACAAAATACTGTTATGAAGATAATTGTTTGAAGTATCATCTAAGTCTTTTTTCAGGCATTAAATACTGTGTCAAAGTGTCAATCAACTTATCTACCGTAATTACATAAATGTATTAGAAATACAGGATTGGAGACGATATTGAAAGCGGATTTGTGATATAATGTAAACGCATATAAATGAAGTGTTCAAATATGGCCTGGTGAGTAGCAGTCTGTTAATACTTTACTGAATTCTCAAAAATTCGGCTGCTACCATAATTTGACAACTTTCTTTAGATGCCACGAATAAACATTATATTGAAGAGCTGATATTGTAATATCATGAAAACGTCTAAATTAAACTCAGTGACGTGATACATAGAGCGTCAGTTAATCCAAATGCATTAATTTTGATACCAAGGAATAATTTAAGTAAATACGTGGTACTAATCATTCGGCTGAATGAAACGTTTGCACGTCAATATTTAAGACTTTCCTGACATTTTATTCAAATCAATATGAGATAGAAGTCAGAAGCTTTTATTGAATTACCTATTAAATAAATAAGTTCTAGACAAATTTAAAAGTTACCTTCTGTAAATCTGTTTGAAAAGCGAACTGACCAGGTGAAATCTGATGAGAGATTAGAATTACAAAATACATTGCAGTGGTTTGTTAAACAATTAAACAAGGTACACACTGCATAAAACATGTAATAGCAATCTGAATTTTATTCAACCTGTTCTCACCAACAACATGTATGTGAAATATATTTGCTTAGTTTGATACAATTTCTTGTTTATGAGATATATTGAGAGTATGTTATTCCTATATATATTACCATTACATGGAATGACACATTGATTTACAATGATTTATTACGTGTATTCACTACTTGAAATTGTAATTTAGAAATGTAATTGCTAAGCGGATTTCAATAAAACCATTTATGTGGTTTATGTGAAAAGAAATGGTGGTAATTAAGTTCCGTAAGTGAAAAAAAGACAACACAGTGATGTAAATTTCTTTTCGACGTTATCCTTTGCCAAAACCTTACAATGGCATCTATAGAGATTTAATAAATGAATGAGTTTGTAGAATTATATTAAGAAATTATGTCTAGGTATTCGGTGAAATCAATTATCAAAGGAAGGTTAGGTAATGATCTAGGCGTTAATGAAGATTAGGAACATAAAAGTTATTTCCAGGTCAGAAATAAGAGAGATTATTGTTAACCTGATAGACATGAAGGAAAACTTGAACCCTTCAAGGTGATGATGACAATGGAATAATAATTCTGAAAAGTTGTACGCAGGTCATTATTACTGGCTATTGATTAAAGAAGTAAAGTATAATAATAGAAAATATGCTGGAAGCGGTGAAAGACCCACGGAAGTGTTATAGATTATATGTGTTGTTTTTGGTCTGAATCTGTAAACTGCTGAAGACTCACAAGTAAGGCAGTTTTGATAGGACCTTCATTTGTATATCTGTACAGATGGATTTGAAGGATAATCCTAGTGGGACATTGTGACCAGAACCGATGGGCTATTTCTGTTTTAGTTTGCCGATTGTTTTCGATTTTCCTTTGACAATCCACACCGGATGATGTTTTGAGACACTTTCAGAAAGTGTTGATTTTTGTGTAGCTAATTTGACCTGCTCCGTCAGAGCAAGTAAAATTACAAACGCATGTTGATTTATGTCAAACGGTTAGTCTGTTTTTGTCACTTCCATGACTGACTAGCTGTTTGTAGACGATGCAAAGCTTGGTCGCTTAAAATGATTTTCTCTGAGATTTTGTAACTCGACTTTTCAAAGCTTCCACCGTGAAACTCAGTGCTAATGAACAAAGTTTTTTGAACAATTATTGGTCATTCAGATTTCTGTTCCCATAAAAGGTTTTTAACTGTGAGCCTAGACTGACAACTAAACTTAATAAGTTCTTGTCTGAGTCGGGGTAATTTATTTTTATTGTGTCTTTGAAATATATCCTCCTGGCCCTTGAGGTTAATTACTGAACTATTCCGTGAGACTGAAATACACAATTCAAGTATTGATCATTCTATTTAATGTGTATGAACCCTTGTGATGGACCATCTGGGGCTATTTTAACAGAAAATAAAGGGAGCGAAATTTCAAAATCACCTTAGCTTCCAACGTAAATGTAATTGGACGATGACAATTATTGAATTTGTTCAGGATGATGATGGAGATGATATTTTTGTTATAGAATACACACGTGTGATCAGTGTATCTTTTGCATAAGTATCATATACTTGGGCTTGACCATGAATTGATACATTAGAAGAGGGTCCAGTAGGAAACTCTTTGCTTACCATAAGTTCATATCCAGAATTCATTGTTAGATCTAAACCGGACATTGAAGGTGCATTGAAGGAGTGTGTGTTTTTAGACAGTGTTTCAGAACACCGATGTCGAAATGAAGATTTGCCTAACAGAGATGATGTGTTTATAGAGTGACTGTACCGAAAATAATAACTAACCATAGTCAATTTCCTTAAGCAATAGAACAGCCCTTACAAAATCTGAACTTTGTCAACATTAACCTCATTGGCCGTAATTTACTCAAACCTACTATAGTTGCGTATAAAACTCTAAATTTTGTCTACATACTCCACATGTTAGTAAAGACGGATAGTGGCTAGCAGTGGAATCCAGGACGCGCGTTTCGTCCTTTTCGGGACTCGTCAGCTGGATGTACCTGTATCTCAGAGTTGATGTTCACTGTGAGACACGAACTCAGTACCGTTCGCTTCAAACGCCATCGCGTGATCCACTTAGCTACTGACTCCTGATAGCCACTAGTTTGTGCAATGGAGTGAAGTTTGAATTCACTCCGTATTGTTTACTTGGATCTTCCCATTGATGTTTAGGACTGCAATTGATCAGTCTCCACTCTCAGATCCAAGCATATCCAGCTGACGAGTCCCAAGTAGGACGAAGAGCGCGTCCTCTATTCCACTGATAGCCACCACCTATCTTTGTCTAGAATGCTTGTGAATTAAGGGAATTTAGGGGCAATACGCACAGTATGCACATATGCAAATAAGAGACTGATCAATCGCAGTCGTAAACCCTAATGGGAAGATTGAAGTAAACAATATCAAGCGAATGTTACTTGATAGTGCTTTAAGTTATGTACCGTGTTACGAGGTGGAACCATCTTTAACATGAGTGGTTCAGTATCCTTGACTACTCAGAAGTCGAAGTTTTCTTAAATGATAGCAGTCAATTTTTAATGGTTATGCGAGCGGTTTATCAAAATTCTTTTATTCACTATGATCAGTTTACATGCCACATGAAAGGTCAAACAACAATAAAAAAGAATTTAAAGTAGTATGATGTGTCATGGCTTTAGTTCTACAAATATGACTTAAGTAGTCTTCGTTAAGTATAACCGAAATGGGTTAATCTGTCGTCAGAGTTACATTTTAGTTTTTGATAGGTAACATCAATGAAATGCTTTTTCTTAGTAATGCAGTAGATGATATATTTAGTCGTCGTTGTATTCAAAAAGGTATTTGAATTACCAGACTTTCTTATCAAAGTCTAAATACATTTTTTATTCACGTGTGTACATCTTAGAATCTCTAGCTACGACAGTGAAAATTACTTATTAGTTTATTAAAATTTGCAGCAGAATATTGCAACGAATTCATCGAAATCACATCACAGGGTCCACCTATATGTATATATATATATAACTTAAATGCTATTGCTCCATGTACACATTATATAAATATTTATCATACTAGAATCTAGTTTTAATTAAATAGCGTATATTACATACGGATTTTTTCAAAACACACTTCATTATGATTTCTTACTCTGGTTTGGGTTATAGGTCATAACTAGAAGTGGACAATCATTTTTAGTTTACTATAAATTGAGCACAGTAAGTTTACTTGATATGAGTATTTCAACGTCAAGTTCTAGGGTGTATGGACAATGATTTAAATAGATTCAAAAACAATCAATATAATAAAAGAAGATTGATATAGGATTTATAATTGAAGTTCTTACTAGGACGGCAAAAATATCCTCTGCGATGTTCATTGAAAATAAAGGTGAACGTCCAGTTTGAGTTAATATTGGTAGAAATAGATCGGTAAGACTGTTATTCATTTGACTTTGATTTCGCCCATTTGTATTATTTATCTCCGTCGAAAGTGATGGTATTAGTTGCCATCCGCCAAAATATACATCTATCAAGTGATGACGACTTTCACGCGTTGTGTTTGAATTTCGACTATTTACGCAAGATTTGTAAAATGCTCGAGCTGATTGTAAGCGCCAATCTTCTTTATAGTATGAATCGTTAGCTTGAAAGCATTGTCAATTATTGACATCAAATTATGGAGAATAAATATTGACCGTAATCTTAACGAATTCGTTCAATAAATTATTGTAAATTTGAAACTCAAAAGAGACTACGGAATTCTGATGTTAGGTAAATGGAGGAAGATTACAGAAAGCCTTTGCAGTTACTCACCAACATTGCGTGAATCCAACTTTGAAGGACTGATATACTTCAAGGAATTCGATGTAGAGTCATTTGTACTGGTAACCACATTTCATCTTAGCAGAATTATAAGTCAGCTTTCGTGACAAAAGCTGGATAGAATTATGTAAAACAGTGTGGCCCGATATTATTCATATCTTAGTCTTACTAAAGGCCATAATCCAATCGAATAGCTTCAGCATGATGTCTCTTACTATCTAACATGGTCCAAAGTTTTCGTATCCCATGTAAATCATCATTTTGAAATAGATTCTAAATATACTTCGCTGATAAATGTCAAATGGTATGTAGCCTGGCTTATGAACTTTCCGCTAAATATACGATTGGACCTTACTCCAAAAGCATACATATCACTCGCTTTTAACTAGAAGTTACATTGTAACTTCTTGAAAATAATTTCGTGTATCGCATTCAGTAAAGGGAAATAAATAGGTGGACCTCTTTCAAAACAAAAGTTATTTATTCAAGAAGTGATATTACCTATATTTTAAGTGACTGAAACTTTGAGTTAGTTTACAGATGCTTCGGTTTGGTTGAAGCATGGCTGTCTGCCTACTTGCATGGATTCTGCAACAAAATTCAGGCTTTGACTCTAAACAATTCGATACTCTTTATATGAAGTTTTAATTGTAGGGAAATATTTATAATATCGAAATCAGCACAAATTATATTATGATAACATTATTTTACTATGACTTGCCAATTATCTTCCAGAAGTAGTTATCAACGTTCATTCCCATCTGTTGCATAACGGTTGAACTAGCACTATCACCCGACAAAGGGTTCTGTTTTTCCCACTCTCCACATGCAGTTTCGTAAAAATCAATACAATGATTCGAGAAACGTGAGTTATCGGTATTATTCTGCATAGTCTCTTCCAATGTGTTTGTTGCTGCATAAAAATGTGTAAGCAATAAAACTAACTACTGAAACGAGGATTTGAGGAATACATAAGACAGACGATTTCAGAACGATTAAGTGTAAGGTAGTTGCTTTAAACATTTGACCATTACTGTTGTGGGGAATAAGACCCTAGTTTTTTAATTACAATTGGATGTTATTATAAATAAGTGAGACTGATTCACTAAGGAGATAACTCTCACATTGATCTATTTTCTACAGCTTATGGCATCGCTCGTATTTAGTTAATCGATTTACTTCCCATTCTCGGATATCTCCGTTAGAACGGTGGATTACTGCTACAAATTAATCGATCTACAGCAAAGTAGAAGTATGGACACTGTGATGTTTATTATGACATTGAAGGTATTCAAAGAAAGATAGTTTATGAGGTGATTTAGTACTCCACGATACTTCATTCTAAATGCTTGATGAACAGACATTTGGATGTTTTGATGTGATATGATTCTGAAACGGTCACAGTGTGAAGGCTACATTCGCTCTTCATCTTCCTCTTGATTCTGAACTAAAGCATCCATTCATGCCTACTTTTTTGATTATCATAATTAATAGATTATTTCGATCGTTTTACTATTCATTTTGTCAAATAAACAAAAATTGACTAACCTGTGTCAGGTGTTCCCGTAATCCGTGTGGTTTCATCTGTTCCAATGAATTCTGAAATGACACAAAGTAAGACACTGAGAAGCTCTATCATCATAAATCTAAGTATATGTTGACCATGGAAAATTCCTGATAGCATCAAAATTACATACTATTAAGACAATCAATAAACAATGAATTACACAAGACGGTTAATGATACTGTGATTTCTCAAACTGATCGAATATCAGACCGGAAAAGAGATGATGATGATGATGATGATGATGATGATGATGATGATGATGATGATGATGATGATGATGATTTTCGTTAGAACTATTTTGGGATTCCATGATCAGACTGATCAATATAACACTCTATGAACATACTGTGATATTTATTTATTTATTTCCTGCATATTTTATGATGATAAATGTAAGTGCTTCATAACTGGAGACAATCGAATGTATTTGAACACAAAATACGGAACATGTTACTAAAAATCTGAAATACTCTATTTGCTAAATGTTAATCAATTGTCCCAAACTCGACTGTTTCTTCATTTTCGCAGCAATCATTCACTGTTCTCGTTCTCTTCTCTTCGACCTCCTCAACCTTCTGCTGCCAGAAATTTCACTTTCGATTGATGATACGTACTACTTGTATCTATCGACATCAATAACACACGCCACAGTATGATTTATTGACAGTTTATTTTTTCTATCTTGTGTCTCTATTTGTATTTATTATTATAACTATCATGTTTCATAATGATTTGTTTCAAACCTGTTTTTGTCGAAATACATTATGAATTATGTGACTATCATTGTTCCCAATTCATTGTTACTGATTATGTATTAGTTTTGTCTAATTGTCAAATGATAATATTCCACCAACAAGATTATTTTATCTAAGATAATGTTTTTCAAGTGTATTCAAATATCCATTAAAACTATTGACAATAAAACATATTGCTTAGTAAACAATAGGAGAATTATATTTATACGTGCTTTATCAGTGAATACAACTCCGCCTGGAACCCCTCTACGATTACTGCCGGTCCCATGTCCGGATAAATGAGGAGGGTTGGGTATGGAGTTACTGACCCCATCCCGTAGAAAACTAACTCGCTAAAAATACGCTAACCAGAAAAAATCCAAATCATTTAAACTCTACACTGAGAATTAGAAGATCATTTAGAAGAGTTATGACGCCTCATGATGAAAGCCGAGTTCATTCGGAAATTACGAGTCTGATGTCCGTTCTGACAGCCAGAGCAACCATTAACTGAGGTACATGGAATACTCGTAGAATGTGGAAAACTGGGAGAGTAATACAAATTGCTAACTGTGAATAAGGTTTAAAATTTTTCATTTTGTTTTTCAGATATTTTGAAATAATTTCAGGAATCTAATTGTTGATGGGAACTTATGAAACGTCGTGGATAAATTGACTAATAATCATTATATAATGCATCTGTGGAAAACATGAGAAAGAAAACTATTTGCGAAGAAATAAATGATTAATATTAGATAAGTTCAAAACTGTTCAGGATCTAAGTCATGTATTTTTCAAAGAAACCTATTGAAATGGTTAAATATGAGGTTAGAGCATAGTTGTTCACACATGAAATATGATGTGTTTGGATTTCTGGTATTGTCAGTTTTTGAAACACAGTTTTTACAAATTCGATCAAATTTGTTCCAGCTATTGTTAAACTTGCAGTGAATCAAATGAGATTTGAATAGGGTACTCTATATGTTTTAATTTCATGTGGAATGTACAATGTTAATGTAAAGATAGTTGACTACGATTACCAACCTGAATTCCATCATGACATAATTAAACTCACAAAGATGTATTACGAATAAATATTAATATAAAGCAACATTTCTATGTGATTCATAAACCTTAGACTGATTTAATTGAAAAAATCCTGTGAATCTTATTACTTTCCACGCATCCACTGGTACTTCAAAATTATCTAATGATGATTGCTTATTCATGAATAGTTTATATTTCTATGAAAAGGTAAATAATCCCTTCTTCAGGAATCATTAAAATGCATCAGTTTAAAACTTGCAAAATTAGCTCATGTTTATTGTGAATAAATTAAAAATTGTTTTATTACATCTGATACAGTGATACACTTTTCTACCTAATGCATTATGAGTCTTTTTTAATCAAAGTTTGAACCACGATTGTGAATAACTTCTGATTAACTGTTTTGTTTGTGGCACGAGATCTGACTCCCATAATATCGTATGAATGATTTTTATTGAAGTACGCAAATCGTCAATCCTCGTATATTATCATCGACTTAACTCGCGTTAGTGAATAATGGAATTAACTAAGCCAGACACGAGAATGAATCAATATTTTTAGTCACGCAAAATCAAGCTACAGACATGTGATGAATGGGATAAGAAGGGCATACACATATGCGCTCACATAAAAACAACCAAGATTGATAAGACAAAATAGTTAACATGGTGAAAACGTGACTCCGATTAACTGTATGATATGAAATCGTTTAGACCCTTAATTGAACCAGATATCCAAATTAAAGTTTCATCATTATGGATACGTATTCACTAAGTTTTAATTTGAGAAAGGAATGTTATAATTTCCCAATGAAAATTCACTTTATCACTGCTTACGCACATCACATTCTAATTTTCTTGTTCAACATGTTGACATACTTTATTCAAGAAATCTTCAAATCAATCATATAAGCCTCTACTTTACGTTTGCAATAATTCTGGAAATTGGTAGTGATGTGTGAGCGAGAATGATAATGATTGGTTGTCTGCTTATTCAGACATGCAGAGATAGTCAGATAGGTGTCAGATGAGTTATATATACCCCTATTCTTATTATTAATTATTATTATTGATTGGCTGTTCATTGTTGTTGGATTGTGTCGGGTTTTTGGTGTGAAAATATAGTTGCGTTCTGGTCAGGCTATCACGTGTTCTTGATCTGAGTTGTGTTGATTTCCTGCAGGATAGACACTGGGAGTAAATTTAGTGTAGATGTTCGTCCTAGGTAAATTAACGTCCCATACATGTAAACGTCAAAAACCCAACCGTTATAACATTAGACGAAGTAAAACTGAGCGTTAAAACAGGTAGTTATTTGGCTATTTTACCTAACTACAGTATGATGCATTATGGTGTATGCAGTATTGCTTTCGTGCATGCAGAAAATGTAAGTGATTGCGTGAAAACATGCAAAATGTGAAGAGCGATATATCAAACTATTAACAAAATTTGACCATACACAGACATTGTGAACAAAATTAAATTTGATAAGTTTTAATCAAGATGCAGTGTCATATATAATGAATCTTACCGTAACAGCAACTCAGAACGAAAAGGATTGCCACTATATCAAATGAAATTATGTTTGTCAACTTCAAGAAATCCTACCATATTTCGAAATTCTTCCTGCTAGAAAGCCTTCAAACGAAGATGACATCACTTTGAGGATAATGCAAAGTATATGCTTTCAGTACGTTTGTTCTTTTCGCATGATCGGCTTCGTGTTTTCAGATATATATATACATATATATGAGGTCAAAGATTGTTGGTTTGTGCAACTTTTTATCGGAAGACTGCGAATATTTGCGCTCATTTTTTACAAACTATTTTCTCTGTCACTTTGAAATAACTTTGATCTATTGAACAAGAAAAATGAGATATGAATTTATAATTAACTGTTGGAGATTCAACTCTTTAGAAACTTATTAGTCCAGACAAAAATGACATTGTCTGTATTTTACAACAACAAAATGTTGGTTTTGCGTGATCATCGAGAATTTGGCTGAATGTCTTAACTAATTCTTGTATTATTCAAATAATTTCTAAAAACCTAGGAGGTTTTTATTACTTCTAATTCTTTAGAGTAATTTCGTAACTTTGGACTAAGACCTTATATTAGTTGAAGGAAATGAGAAGTTCCTAGTTTTGAACACATAACGATAACATGAAAGATACTTACATCAAGTCAGTATGAGATTTATGAAGGTACCTTGAATGAGGTTACAATTACTATAGTTAACAAATGTGTACTGAAATCTAAATTTCTTCTGCGTCTTTTGGTAAGAGTAAGATATATTTGTAGAAAAGTGCTATCTGTCTTGTCCATTTTCGAACTTATATGATCACTTTATTATGATTATCACATTTTGATCTAAACACATACATACATTGATGAGATCATTACTCCATTCTGTGGGTTAAACATGATGATGTTCTGTATTACTGTGTTCATATGAGTTCAACTAAGCATAAATCACGAGATCACGTACAAATAATATGCAAATAATAGCAACTAATTGTACAAAGAAACCTGATTTGACATTGCTCCTAATTACAGGTCCCATGTTGTAAATTGTTTGTTTTTTTTCAATATTTTGACTGACGAACTAAATTGAGCGTGATGATCCTCTAAAATTACTGCCGGTCCCAATCCTCAGTTAGCTTTTAGGTTAGGAACACCACTCAGTAATAAGGAATTCAACGATAAAAGTGCTAGCCAGAAACATTCATCTAGATCATTTAATCTCTAACCTGGAAGTCGAAGACCATTCATATTGGAGTGTTATGACGACTCATGGTGAAAGCTGATATTATTTAGAAGTTTTAAAAAGAATGCTCTTTCAGACAATTAGAGCAAAATCTGATTGAAGTTTATGGAACATCCTGACAGTATGAGAGATAGGTAGGGTCATTGAAATAGCTGACGAAGTGAGCAGATACAACCTGACTGTGCTCAGAACTAGTGCAACCCACTGTAGACAAGCTGAACAGAAAAGTATGGCTTCATAAATGCTGTTGCTTCATTCAGGTCACGAATAGGGCAACGACCCACACACAATGTTTACGCTGATACCGTCCAAAGAATCACATTAGGCACTTATAGAATGGTAGAAAGACAGGTTAAGAACCATCAGTCCAACCCTTAGAGGAAGAAGTAATGGACTACAATGAATTTCATCTGTAGTGGCTTAGCTTCGTTACTCGATCGCCTCGATATCCGTTATAATATAAATCTCAACGGTGTTTAAAATCAGAAGGCGATGAGAAGCTGAAACTAGAGTCTATCAGTGGA